AGCCTCCTGAGCAGATGGGAGACAGGCCCTGAGCTGGGGTGGCCTGTGACCTGAGGGGGCCTGGGCCATGCAGGGGAGACGTGACCTCCTGTGTTCCTGGCGGCCACCCCTTCCTGGCAGTGACGGCAGCCAGACACACACCCAATCTCCCCTTTCTGTTGTTTTGCATGAACGTGAGGAGCAGCAGTTTTTGTTTATTCATTTGGCCCAAAATCGCGTGTAGGATTTGGGGGTGGATTTTTAAATAATTTGTTTCCTTTTGGTTTAATGGGGGATATAGGGACCAACCAGGACCAAGCGCCCAGGGGGCCGGGAATGGTCTGGTGGTGCCGCCTGGTCTGCATGCATGTGTGCGGCTGGGGCTGGGCTGGGCGGCTGGCAGTCAGGGCTGGGGTTGGGGGGTGGTCTGTGCTCAGCTGATAACTGCCATGCACTGTACTGCATATGTCCCCAGAGCCTACCGGGACCGTACGCTTTTCAGGGCATTTCTCCCTCCAGCCAGGGCCCGACTCCCACCTGACGGGGCAAGTCTCCTCCAAGGAAGTCCCAGGAGGACAGGGACCAGGGAGGGCGTGGACCCCACCTCCAGGGGCCTCCTCCCAGCCTGAGCCCTGCCCTCCAAGGTCTGGAGGAGGTCCCCGGTAGGGTCTGGCTGAGCTCCCATCTTCTCTTTCCCTAGTCCCATTCCTTTCCTGTCCTACCCCCAGCTGGGGTTGCTGCCCCGAACGAACCGCGTGTGGGGCCGGCACATCCTAGCAGGCAGCCCCTGGCGCCTGCTGCCTCAGGGATGCTCCAACCACCCTCGTTCTTCCTGCAGCGGCCCTGGCTCCCTGCCTCCCCTCAGCCTGCCATGGGGCCCCATCAGCCTGGCCCCACCCCCATGGAGAACCCAAAGTCTTACTGTATATAACTCCAGGTGATGTTTCTATATTTATAACAGTGTTGAAACCCCATGTGTTTTACAGAGAACCACCCTCTCCAAACCCCCCCTCCCTTTCCCACCCCGACAAAAGGTTTTCCAGATCCTCAAGGTTCCTGGGGCGGGCGGAAACAGGCTCACGGGTTGTGTGTTGGCTGCAGCAGTCATTCCGACGAGCAGCTCTGGGGGGGGAACACAACATTTTAAAAAAATCATTAAAAAAAAGATTTATAAAACAATTATTTAGGATGTTTGTGATTTGCCGACCTTGCTATAGATGCCATGTTACCAATGATTTCCTGTGGTGGGGGCTTGTCATTGTTTACTCTTTTATTTACCAACTTCTGGCCTAGGCATGACAGTGGGCACCATCCCCCAGCCCTGGCTGGGCCCAGCACCTGTGTTCTGTGTTAGAAAGGTGTTTTATGTATATGTGTGTATATATATATATGCAGATATATATATATATCTGCATATATATATATACATACACACACATATATATATATATAAAATTACATATATATATATAAAAATACATGTAATTTGGGGGGCCCTGTTCCTTGCACATTTTACAGTTACCTCATTTTTCCCATGTATGTATTTGAGAAAATGCTAATATATAGAGAAAAAAATGGTTCTTAAAGCTTAAATGTGTGGTTTTTTCCATTCCATTGGATTCACATTGGTTTGTAGCATTTAACATAACTAGTATGTTGTATTATATATATGTGTATACTGATTGAAATTTTTAACAGATTTGTACTTTTTTTAAAATGAAAGTTGCTAGTTCTGCTTGACCAAGTAGTGCAATCATTATTTTTTTTAATATTGTTGCTGATTTCAGAGGGATATTCACTAATAAATGTATGATGTATATCAAGTATTGCCCAAGCTGCCTTTGGCTACCTGTGTTCTTTCTGTGGGAAGTGGGGGTAATGTCAGTCTGAGAATGGGTAGGGGATAGGGATGAGGTGGGCAGAAAAGACTGTTCTCTGCTGTGGCACCTTGGGGGTACCTCCTGATCAAGAGGGTCTGCCAAGGGCATCTGGGTGGCTCAGTTGGTTGAGTGACTGCCTTCAGCTCAGGTCATGATCCCGGACTTTCAGGATCGAGTCCCGCATCGGGCTCCCAGCTCCTTGGGGCGTCTGCTTCTCCCTCTGACTTTCTCTCTCATGCTCTCTCTCACTCATTCTCTCGCAAATAAATAAATAAAATAAAATTTAAAAAAGAGGGTCTGCCAAGCCAGGTTAGTGATGACATTCTGGGCCATCTGCTTCACACTCAAATTAGGCAGGATTCTGTTGGCAAGTGGCAGGATTCCATGAAACTGGTTTTAGGCAACCGTCCCTTGTTGGTCTCTCATTTCAATTCTGGAGGTAGGTTCTGCCTCAGGCGTGACTGGATTGGGCTTGGGCATGTTATAAACCAAGGTCTCCTGTCTCCTTCATTTTACAATTTTGTTTTGAAGGAGCTGCTTCTATGTGGTGGTTCTTGGCAGCTCTAGTTCAGTTTCTTCTAGTTTAGCATCATTCCATGGGAAAACCATTTTTTCCCTGGAATTCTAATGATGTTTCTAGGATGGAGTCTTGTTAGACGTGGTTTGGATTGTGGGTGCATCTCTGAGCCATTCATTACCATATCAGGAAGCTACACCAGCATCATCAGCCTAACTTAGGTTACATACCCTTCCATACCCCAGCACTACTAAGACTACCTGGACTTGAGTCCCTCATCTCCAGGCTCAGTGGGGACTAGGGGCCTGAGAACCTCCCAGGGGACCAGGTTGGTGACACGGTTACATAACTCTTAACCCATGATGGTGTATGGTGCTGCAAGAATATCAGCTGATTGTTAGCATGTCAAAGCAACATGGTCTGGAGCAGGAGCAGTGGGCTGGGGTCAGGAAACCCAGGACCTGGTGTCTGTGTGATGCCACTATCTGTAGCCTTGATCAGGTCACTTTTCTTTCAGCCTCTGGATCAACTGCAAAAAGGGACAATTAGTTGAGTAGTTCCCTGTGTCTCAGAGACAGGGCTATGAGAGCATAAGGGGGGGTTAAGAAGGGCTCTGTTAAACAAGTTTGGGAAATTCCACACTAAAGGTAATAGGAGCCTATGCCGCAGGGCTTCTCTGAGCCTTGGTTATGCGGATGAGTGTTATAAGCCTCTAGAAATGGATGTGAGCAGCAATTGCCATATTGGGCTTGTCTGGCTAAATGTAGTGCTCAAATTGCATTCTCTGGGGGCACACTGGGAAGTGCTGGACTAGACCAGTGATAGGGATGGAGTTCCAGGGCCCTAGTCTGAAGTCTAGGGAAGTCTCTAAGCTTTTTCCAGTATTAAAAAAAAAAAAAAAAAAACTTACAGGAAAGCTGATGATCTTATCAGTTGATTAAAAAAAAAGAAACTTGGCAAAATTGAATATTTATTCATGATAGTAACTCTCAGCAAGCTAGAAATAAGAAGATAACTTCCTCAACCTGGTAAGTAACATCTACAAAAAACTCAACAGCTAACAATGTAATGGTGTGAAAGACTAGGTGCCTCACCCTTGAGATCAGGACAAGGCAAGAATATCCACTCTCACCACTCCTTTTCAATATCCTATTGGAAGTCCTAGCGAGCGCAATAGATAAGGCCAAAAAAAGGAAATAAAATTAAACAAGATACTGAAAAGAAAATTGTCTCTATTTATAAATTTGATGACCTATAAATTATCAAAATCCCATGGAGATTTTGAAAATCCCAGGGAATCTAGAAAAATGGAACTAAATGAGTTCATCAGGTCATAAGTCACAAGATGAATATACAAAAATTAATTATAGTCTATATAGTAGCAATGAACACATGAAAATCAAAATTTTAAAACTACAGAGCCATTCAAAAGGTGAAACCTAAATCTAACAAAATGAGATTTGGTGTTGAAAATTAATACTGGATAAAAGAAACCAAAGACCTATATAAATGGAGAAACATGTCATATTCTAGAATTAGAAGACTCAGCAATAGGTTAAGATCTGATTTCTTCCCATACTGATCTATAGATTTAATGCGATTCCTATCAAAATTCTGGCAGGTTTTTTTTTTTGTGTGTGAGATGACATTCTTCAAAAGTCATATGAAAAGGCAAAGAAACAAGCAGCTAAGATAACTCTGAAAAACAAGAAGAAAGTGAGAATAATCACGATACCTGATTTTAAGAGTTATTGTAGATCTGCATTAAGACAACATGGCAGAGGGACAAACAAGTAGATCAGCGGAACAGAAGAAAGATTCCAGAAAGAGACCTGCACAAGTAAGGCCAGCTAATTTTTGAGCATTCAATGAAAGATAAGCTTTTCAATAAATAATACTGGAGTAGCTGAACATCCACTAAAAAAACTAAAAAGAAACTTAAGTCACAATACAAAAATGAACTCAAAACAGATAAAAGATTTAAAGGTAAAACATAGGGGCACCTGGGTAGCTCATTCAGTTAAGCATCTGCCTTCAGCTCAGGTCATGATCTCAGAGTCCTGGGATCGAGTCCCTCAGCGGGGAGCCTGCTTCTCCCTCTCCCTCTCCCTCTCCCTGCTACTCCCCTTGCTTGTGCGTGCTCTCTCTCTAATAAATAAAGTATTTAAAAAAAAAAAAAAGGTAAAACATAAAAGTGGAAAACATTTAGAAGAAAACAAGTGAAAATCTTCATTAGGACCTACAGTGGAGTGAAGAGATCTTAGACATGACACTGAAAGCAATCCATAAAAGAGAAAAGTAATAAACTAGACTTCACCAGAAATTAAATGCTTAATTTGCAAGTCACATATATGAGAAATGACTCAGGTCAGATAAATAACTCTCAAAACTCAAGAAAAGACAGTCCAATGAGAATATGGGCAAAAGACATGAACACATTAAACAAAGAGGATATTTCATTTGTTCACCACCATAAGCTATTAGGGAAATGCAAATTCAACCACAATTAGATTATTACACACCTGTAAAAACAATGAAAATAATAAATAGTGTCAATATCAAATTCTGGTGAGGATGCATTGCATCCTCCTCCATCGATTTCTCCTACATCGCAGATGGGAATACTAAATAGTACAGCCACTCTGGAACATAGTCTGGCAAGTGTTTGATACAATCTATGATAAATAAGTCAGTAGAGGTTCCACTCTGCCACTGAAGCATCTGTGAAGAGCCCTGTACCATTCAACTGATGAGCATCTAAAGGATGTCCTATCTTTTATCCCAGCCACCACACACACCTTCCATGTTGTTCCTGTCCATTAACTGCTTCCAAATCCAGATGATCAAATGGTTCTTTATCCCCTAAGTAAACTAAAAAGGGTTGGCTTAGACATTCCAGGATCTGCACCCATTCTAAATCCCAGGCAAATCATGAGAGGAATAAGGTTCCAGGGGCTGGCAAACTGGCCCCCCTTGAAGGGCTGCTGCAGCCTCTGCTTGGCCTCTCTGCTCAGCTTCACCATGGCAACAGCCTGGCCGTTTCCTCTAAAACTAAACATATACTTATTACATGACCCAGCGCTCCTGGGCATTTATCCCAGAAAAATGAAAACATGTCCACACTAAAACACATACATAAATGTTCATAGCTGCTTTACTCATAATCACCCCAAAGAGAGAACAATGTACACATCCTTCAGTGAGCAAATGGTTGAATTGTGATCCATCCAGATCACAGAATACTACTTAGCAATAAAAAGGAACACACTAGGGTGCCTGGCTGGCACACTCACTCAGTGAGCGTGCAACTCTTGAGGTCATGAGTTCAAACCCCACATTTGGTATAGAGTTCACTTAAAAAAAAGGAACTATTGATACGTGCAACAACTTGGATGGATCTCAAGGCAATTATGGGGAGTGAAAAAAGCCAATCACAAAGGAGATATATAGATATATATAGATATATAGATATATATATATATAAAATCAATATTAGGAGAGATGGAGAATAGATTAGTGGTTACTAGGGATTGGGGATGGTGGAACAAGGGTATGTGTATGTGTGACTATAAAGGGGTATAAGGGATATAAAGGGATAAGATCTTTGTGGCAATGCAGTGGTTCTGTATCTTGATTATAGTGTGGTTACATGAATTTATATAAGTAATGAAACTGACGACTACAAATACACACAAATGGGTGGATGTAAAACTGGTGAAAACTGGATTATATCAATGTCAATTTTCTGGTTTTATGCAAAATGTTATTATTGGGGGGGCGCCTGGGTGGCTCAGTCAGTTCAACGTCTCCCTTCGGCTCAGGTCATGATCTCGGGGTCCTGGGATCGAGCCCCGCGTTGGGCTCTCTGCTCAGCGGGGAGCCTGCTTCCTCCTCTCTCTCTGCCTGCCTCTCTGCCTACCTGTGATTCTGTCAAATAAATTAATAAAATCTTTAAAAATAAAAATACATACATACATACATAAAAAGATGTACTCATTGGGGTACATAAGACATTTTTGTAATATTTTTACAAGTTCCTATAAATTTATATTTATTTCAAGTAAAAATTTTTTTAAAAATCCTTTAGGAAATTGGGTAAAGGCTGACATTATGAATCAGATTAAAATCCTATTATTGTTATACTATACACAGAAAATCCTAATGACTCCACCAAAAACTATTAAAAGTAATAAAAGAACCAAGTGGCAGGACACAAAATTAATACCCAGAAATTGGTAGTGTTTCCATACACTAATAATGAAGTGGCTGAGAGAGAAATTAAAAAAAAAAAAAAATCCTATTTACAGTTGTACCAAAAAGAATACCTAGGAATAATTAACCAAAGAGGTGAAAGAACTATACTCTGAAAACTATAAAACACTAATGAAAAAAACTGATGACACAAACAAATGGAAAGATGTTCCATGATAATTGTTTGGAAGAATTAATATTGTTAAAATTTCCATATAACCCAAAGCAAGCTACAGATTCAGTGCAATCCCTATCAAAATACCAACAGCATTTTTCAATGAACTAGAACAAAAAATACTAAAATTTGTATGGAAACTACAGAAGACCTACAGAAAACTTGATTAAGAACAAAAAAGCTGGAAGTATCCCAATACCAGATTTCAAGACATACTACAAAGCTGCAGTAATGAAAACAGTATGGCACTGGCACAAAAATAGACATATAGATCCATGAAACAGAGCAAAGACCCCAGACATAAACCGACAATTATATGGTCAGTTAATCTATGAGAAAGAAGGCAAGAATACACAATAGGAAAAAGACACTCTAATAAATTGGTGTTGGGAAAACTGGACAGCTACATGTAAAAGGACGGAACTAGATCACTAACACTATGTACAAAAATAAACCTGAAATGGATTCAAGGCCTAAATATGAGACCTAAAACCATAAAAATCCTAGAAGAGAGTACAGACAGTAATTTTTTTGACATCAGCTGTAGCAACACTTTTCTAGATGTGTCTCCTGAAGCAAGGGAAACAAAAGCAAAAATAAACTATTGAGACTACATAAAAATAAAAAGCTTTAGCACTGCAGAAGAAACCCTCAACAAAACAAAAAGACAACCTACGGAATGGGAGAAGATAACCTGCAAATGATATATCTGATAAGGGGTTAATTTCCAAAATATATAAAGAACTTATACAACTCATCACCAAAAAACCCAATCTGATTAAAAAAAGGGCAAAGGACCTAAATACACATTTTTCGAAAGATGACATAGAGATAGACACAAACACTTGAAAAGATGCTCAACTCAACTAATCATCAAGGAAACATCACTAATCATCAAGGAAAGGCAGAGTAAATCTATAATGAGGTAGCACCTTACACCTGTCAGAATGGCCAAAATCAAAATGACAAGAAACAACAGTATTGGCAAGGATGTGGAGAAAAAGCAACTATTGGTGGGAACGTAACGTAGTGTACAGCCAACTGTGGGAAACCTAGAAGGTATTATGCTAAGTCAAATAAGTCAGACTGAGAAAGACAAATACCAAATGTTTCCACTCATAAGTGAAATCTAAAAAAGAAAAAAATTATTAAACAAAAAGCAGAATCAGACCTATAAATACAGAGGACAAACTGACGGTTGCCATAGGGGAGGTGCGTGGGAAGATGAGCAAAATGGGTGCAGGGGAGTGGGAGATACAGGCTTCTAGTTATAGAATGAGTAAGTCATGGGAACAGAAGGCACAGCATAGGGAATATAGTCAATGATATTTGTAATGGTGTCGTCTGGTGACACCAGCTACACTTGTAGTGAACATAGCATAATGGATAAACTTGTTAAATCACTAAGCTGTACACCTGAAACTAATGTAATATGGCATGTCAACTGTACTCAAATAAAAAATAAGTTTAAAAAAATTTTTTTCTAAATCCTTTCATCTTGGGACTCTTGGATGGCTCAGTTGGTAGAGCATGCAACTTTGGATCTCAGGGTCGTGAGTTCAAGCCTCACTTTGGGCATTGAACTTACTTAAAAAAATAAATATTTTTAAAAATCCTATCATCTTTGGGCTGTAGTTCTCTTACTTAAAGGTGTGGCAGTGTTGCGGGGTTGGGGGTGGGTAGAAGTTCATTCTGGTTACTGCGCTGTTCTATCAGAAGCTCTGCCTGCCAGTGACTACAACTATGCCTGACCCATGGTAACCATTTCTTGAAGAATGAATGAAGTGGCAGTCAAGTGTGTCTTTACTTTAATAACGGTTGGTAGAATTGGTAACATCTCACCAAGGGCCGCACACCACAGGTCCTCGGAGGGAGGAAGGTGGAGCTCCAGGAACAGATACTTTCTCACCCCTTTGGCCGTGGTGCCTCAGCACCCTTTGAACTCAGCATGTATGCTCATGGGAAAGACTTTCACGGTTCTTCTCTCGGCACAAGTGTAAAAGCCTACATACTCTATAAGGGCAGTTTAACTGCCACTGAGTCCTCAGCACCTTGTAGGTTGCTTTGCATGTTGTTTGTGCTAAATAAAGTCATTCAACAGAACTGGCTGAGTGTTTCTGCCCAAAGCCATGCACTGTCCTAGGCAGTGGGGGAACTCCAGTGAATGAGACAAAGTTCCTGCCTCCAGGAAGCTGGCATTCCAGGAGAGACAGACAATATATAAGTAAAGAATAACTTCAGATTATCACAAGGGTCATGAAAATGGGGCGGTCTCCCAGAGGTGACATTGAGACCAGTGAGGCCTGAATGATGAAAAGGAGCTACCTAGTCAGGAGAAAAGCATTCCAGGAGGAGGGAACAGAACATGCAGAGGCCCAGAGGCAAGAAAGAGTTCGGGCAAGAGCACAGGGTGAAGTTGAAGAGATGAAGTTGAAGAGGTGGTCAGGGGCCAGGACCCAGGGGGTCTTATAAACCATAGTGTTTCATTTGCTCTTCAGCTCCCTGAATTGAGGCATTATCATCTTTGGTTTCCCGCTGGAGGAGCTGCAGCTCAGAGAGGCCCCAGGCTAACCCTAGGCCCACGAAGAAAATGGCGAGAATCAGGATAATCTGGTAGTCTTTCCACTTCTGCATCCTCCAAGTCAGAAAACCCACTTTTGAAAAACCCTAACAGAGGTCTTCAGTCTGTTTCCCCCCACTCCCCTCCATGCTCCACTGCTACCCTACAGCCTCCTGGGATGCAACAGAAAATGGAAGTCCTCTGTCCCTTACGGGGTTCTTGGGGATGACAGCCACAGAAGGAATGTTGTCTCCTCTTTTCCTTTTTTTATGAATGGGGAAACTGATTGCAGCCCTGAAGATAAACCCCCTTTGTCATTTCACTGGAAGATGGGTGATGTCAAAAAAATGGGGTTCCATAGTTGTATTTTCCTCCTTTCCCCTGCCTCGCCAGCTTCCCTGTGGGAGGGAATGGAGCCAGTAGAAGAACTATTATCACAATCTCATCTCACTCTTGTCAGCCCCTGCGTCTCCCCTCCTTCCTTCAAGCCTTCCTTCAAGTCAGACCAGGTTCTCATGGTTTCCCCAACATGCTGTTTTTACCCATGTTGTGCATGCTGGTCCCCCTGCTTGGAAGACCATTCACATTTTGTGAATGCCTACCATACTGCCGAGTTATCCCTCACGGAGTCCTTCTGTTTTCTTTACTGTAAAACTGTTACTACCTCCCTCATATTTCCTGCTGAGGAAAGGGAGGCCCAGGAATGGGAGAGGACTTGGCAAAGATCCCAGAGCCAATACACAGCAGAGCTGGGATCAAGGGCTCAAGCCCAGGTCGGTCTACCCACCCCTGCAGCCTTTTTCATTGAACCACACTTTTATGTAGCCTCAAATGCCTTAACTTTTCCTGGTAAGCATGCTCCTTTCCCAAAGTCCAGTTTGAATGCCTCTCCTCACGTGAGCTTCCCCAGATCCCTCCCTCAAGCCAAAGCAGGCCACACTTCTACTCTGCTTCCAGAGCCCACCATGCAGACAGCTTTCCCCCACACATCTCACCTGTTATGATCAATCCAGCTGGCTGCCCATGCCTTTGCTTCACTAGACCAAGGGCCATCACAGTCACCATGTTCCCAGATCCTAGCAAAAGAGCATGGACATCAGTGAGGGTTTTCTCAACAGGTGATTGAATAAGTGAACAAATAAGCTGCTGGGAGGGAAAGCATGTGGGAAGTTGACCCCAGCCCCAGGGCCCAGGTGTTTGCCCAGGCCCTGCCCTCTCATTCTTTCCATCGTCCCAGCATAGTAAATTAACTGTTATCTGTCCCGTATTCAATGATCTTTCTATACGATGATTCCTCGAACCAACCGCTCCCTGGCCTCCACAGTTCTGACAAGCTGAGGCAAACTCATTGGCCTCTGCTGTTATTTCAACCTCAGCTCAAGTCTCTGACAGAGAATTGCACACTAGGAAAGGCCTCCGAAAAACAGAGGGCTCACTGCCGGTCAGTGCACTACACAATGGCCGGTTGCTCCGTCAGAAATTAGCCACATCCGCTGAGCATGAAGGGATTTAATTTAGCAAATGTATAAAGAGTTGATGTGATTTTAACCAAAGTATATCCAGGGGAAAAAAAAGCTTGAAGCAAAATATGCCAAAATATTAATAATTTGGGGTAGTAGGGATGTGAATCAGGGTTATTTTCTTTTTTATACTTTTCTGCAATTTTTAAAAAAGCCATATATGGGGTGCAACTAAGCACAGAAACCATATATGGGGTGCAACTAAGCACAGAAACCCCAATCTACTTGCCAATTGTGTTCCTCCCTCCCAAAGGTGGGAATCCTGACTTCCCAAGGGTATCTTCTACCTCTGACAACACCCTCCCACCAACCCACCCCTTCTGAAACCTGGACCTCACCCTTTCTGTGATCTGACTTTCAGTTCTGGGACCTACCCCATGGTCTTTCAACACATCAGTTTTTTCCCTTAAATTAGCTACAGTGGGTTTCCTGTTTGTTACTTGCAACTAAAGATCTCTAATAGAGGCACTGAAAGGTAAGAGCTACCTGGAAAGATCCAGATGTATACAAATACTGTGTTCCTAAATTGGTATACCATGCTAATTATGATTTATATCTACTCTCCTTGCTAGTACCTGTGTTATAGTAAGCCAGAGTCTTATAAACAGGATTCTGGAAGACCAGAATCATGTGGTCTAGGCACTGCCTGCTGGCCACCAGAAGAGTTTGAGGAATTGACAGCCTGTCTTTTAAACCATTTCTCTTGGGGCGCCTGGGTGGCTCAGTGGGTTAAGCCTCTGCCTTCGGCTTGGGTCATGATCTCAGGGTCCTGGGACCGAGCCCCACTTCAGGCTCTCTCCTCAGCAGGGAGCCTGCTTCCCCCTCTCTCTCTGCCTACCTCTGCCTACTTGTGATCTCTGTCTGTCAAATAAATAAATGAAATCTTAAAAAAAAAAACAAAAAAACATTTCTCCTGAGTGCCAGTTGTGTTAATCGTTAGTCAGGAAATGCACGGTATACTTAGGGAACAACCAAGAGATCCATAATGGTTAGTTCGTGTGGCCATGAGGAAGAACAGAAAAACAAAGCTATGAAGTTCTGCAAGGGCCCAGAGTTGAAGTCTCCAGCTCCGGGCTGAGGAGCTGGACTTTGACCTGGGACAAAGGAGGTGCTAAAAACTGGCTGCATATGACCCATTTTCAGAAAGAAAACTGGCAGCAGGAAGGAAACAGACTGGTGACAGGACCTGGCTTTTCGTGTCTTTCCCTATTATGTATTCTGGTCTGAGTCTCACCTGGTCTCTGTTTTTCCAGAAAGCCACCTAAGTCATCTTATACTCGGGCTTGCTCTCTAAAATGGCTATTTCAAATCTTCTTCAGTCTTCTTAGACATCTGACCTCATCAACCCCCACAACCTGACAGAACAGAGGCCATCACATGCACACACTCTCAACTTTTTGCCTTCAAATCTACAAATACTTTGACTTCTGTTCCCATCCTTCCTCCTAAGGCCAAAACCCTTCCACCACCCCAGGGACATCTTTCTGTTATCCTCACTCTGTGGATCTTCAAACTTTTCCTCTAAAATCTCATTGCTTTTAACATTTACACATAATGAAGTCTCTCTCAACTTGAAACAAATGACCTTTTCTCATTCACAGCTCCTCTCTGGCCTGTTCTATTTCCTCCAATACTTCCACCGACAAATTTCCCAAGAACTGCCTACACTTCATCTCCCATTCATTATTTCTACCTTCCAATACTGTACTCCCCTGAAATAGCACCTGTGAAAGTCACCAGTGACTGTCTGTTCCTAAATGCAGTTGTCAGATCCTGGACATCACCCTCAATTTCTCACTCCATCATCCTCCATATCTTATCAGCCTCCAGGTCCTCCCTGGTCATTGTGCTTCCTAAATAGTTCTCATTTCCATCATTAACACCCCCACCATTCCCAAATCATTCCTGATTCAGGACTCTATCATATCACCTCTTAGTCCTGCCTCCCTCGCATTCAGTCTCCCCAGTGACAGAATCAGCTTTCTAACACCCAAATCTGATGTATCTCCCTTGCTTAAAGTTCCTCAATGGCCCTCAGGATAAAGTGTGATTCCCTTACCTAGTTCACATAATCTGACCCCCAATCTGTGGGCCAGAAACAAGGGGACACTTGAGTCTGTATCAGGTACCAACTGGGGAACTTTTACATTTACAGAGATCTTGTAAGAGATCAATTAGGAGGTTATAGCTGACGGTAAGAGATGGTTAGTGGGGATGGAGGTTCAATCAAAAGGAGGTTAAGAAAGAAGTGGAGGCTGGTTGTGCAAGCCATCTTGGCAGGAAAGGAGGTAGGATGGTAACTTGTGGGTAAGTTTAAGGTTTTGCAAGGGAGGAGATGCCAAACATTTTTTAAATGGAACATGAAAGGAGACTCAAGTGATTGAAAAGGGGATAGTTGTTAGTAAAGGTTCTGGCAATGATGACACAAATGGGAGACTGAGCACACACTGCTGGCAGAAATAGAACTATAGAATAGTGCTATAGAAATAGCACTACAATTTGGAAATCAATCATTTAAAAAAGCAAAATTCCATCCTTTTGGGACTAATTTCGCTTCGATTTCTTTTTTCCCCTGAGAAAACAAACATGGATGTGAACATTTATCACTACATGGATGTTTATTAAGTTGTACATAGAAAAGAAAAAAAAAAAGTTGAACAACCTAAAATGTCATAAGAGGATTTTTATTAGTTTATAGTTTATGGCACATCCATTCAGTGAAATGCTGCATAGTCATTTAAAAATATATAGAAGATGTGAAATTGAGATAATACAGTATTTACAATGCCATCCCATCTTTGTAGAAGAAAAAGTTTTTAATAGGTAAAGTCTGGGAAGACTTACACTGGAATATTAACGACAGATACCTCTGGACAATGTGGTATTATAAAGTTTTTTTTTTTTTATTGTTCCTTTGCACTTCCTAAAGTTTCCTACCATGAATAGGAATACTTGAATAAAGAAAACAATTGATGGGGCATCTGGCTGGCTCAGTCAGTTCAGTGATTCGATCTCAGGGTTTTGAGTTCAAGCCCCATGTTGGGTGTGAAGATTAATTAATTTAAAGGAAAAAAACCACACACACACAACAGGAGCACCTGACTCTAAAGCATCTGACTCTTCATTTCAGCTCAGGTCATGATCTCAGGATCATGAGATCAAGCCCTATGTTGGGCTCCGTGCTGGGTGTGGAGCCTGCTTACGATTCTCTTTCTCCTTCTTCCCTTCCCTCCTCTCCCCCACCCCAATTCATGCGCTCTAAAAAAAACAAAAAACAATTTATAAAATCACACACACACACAGAGTCCATTCATATGAAGTTTAAGAACAAGCAAAACTTCTATGGTAAAAGAAGCCAGAATAGTGGTTGTCTCTGAGGAGCTATAGACATACAAAGTAACTTTCTAGAGTGATTAAATATATTGCACCTTGATTTTGGTATACACATAAAGATAAAATATAATCAAGTTGTGGATTTAAGATTCGGGGATTTTATTGTGTGTTTTATCTCCTTCAGGAGAAAACAGACCTACAAGACAGAAAAGAGAGGAAACAGGTAACAACACAGAACCATTTGGAAGTGAAAAAGAGAATGAAGTTCTGTGACAAGAACTTGAATTTCTCAGGAAGTAGGCTGCTTAGCAGTGGACTTAGAGTGAAAATGATGCAGCAGGGCTTGGATTTGAGAAAGGGGACACAGTAGAGCAATGCTTATGAGGCAGAAACACATGGGGAGTTTCCCAGAGCTGGAGCACAGAAGCGGGCACCAACACCAAGGCTCCTCAGTTTACTGTGATATATAAGCTAGGACTTCGCAACTTAAGGAACAAGAGGAGAGAAATAAAATGGTTCATTTAATTCGGGGAATTGTGACAGCACTGGATTGTAGTGGAGAGGGGCATGAAGCCCACAGAATTCTTGTAGGGAGAATTAAGAGGTGTAGAGAGGTACAGAAAGGCCTTATGGGCAGTGTTGGGACAATGGAGCTGGAGCACTAAAGGCTGTGGTCAGTAAGGGTTTGGTTCTGAGGTCTTGAGGGTGAAGCAGTTCACACTGAAGGCTAACCTCAAAGCATAGCACTGCTGGGACAGGAGCGAAGAAAGCAAACATTTACTAAGCATTCTTCTTCCACCTACCACCAGGCACTTCACAGCAGTCCATTTAAAGAGCACCTAAACTTTGCAAGGATGCACTGCCTTGATGTTTATAGATGAGGAAACACCCTAGATTACTCAGCAAGGGGTAGTTTCAAATTCAGATTTGACTCAAAGCCTCTTTCTACTACATTCAGCAGCTATATAAGTCAAATCAGGAGAAGGAACACAATTTTAGGAAATTCACGTATATAGGATGTAAGAGTCACCTAGGTTGCTGGTGGAGAAGAAAGCATCAGTTGCCAGTATCTGGGGGAATGACTAGTAGCAACCAGAACAGTATAAAGTAGCCCAAGGAGATGGCATGTGCTTCAGGAACACTGTCCTGGACGACAGTGGATCAAAGCAGCAGAAGAGAAATGCAGACCCATTTTCTGGTTTCTAGATTTGAAGGAAAATAACAATCCCTGATTATGGGTTTTTCTGAAGTGGTATCTTCAAGAAAAAACCAGGTTTCAGCTTACCAGGGTTAAAAACCTGGGAGTTTGGGGAATCATTCTGAGAGTTCCCAAGAAGGGCAGAGAGAAAAGGGGAGTTAGAGCCATGAGAAGGAGGAGAGGCTCAGCACAGAGCTCACGGTCAGGAGGAAGAGACTTTGGGGTTGGTGGCTCCATCAGGGTAAAAATACATGGCATTACAACACCGGAGGCATGGCAAGTAAAAAAGTGTTGGACATTATCCGCCCATAAGCAAAGCATCAACTTAACCCCTCCCCTTTTACTCTCCTTCTTTTATCTGCATCTAGGATGGACTGTTAGCAGTGGGCAAGCTACAGACTGTGCTGCAAACAGTAATCAGAGCTATTCCTTAGCGAACACCTATTGTGTGCCAGGTCACTGCAGCAGCAATTCACTTCATCCTGAGTGCAAGGCTACAACCGGCCCCATTTTACCGATGATGAAACTGAAACCTAGAGAGCTGAGGTCATTTGGCTAAAACCATGGCCACAGCCAGGATTTGAAACCAAGCATATCTGGCATCAGAGTTCAAATCATCCTTTAATCTGTCAATCGATGGCAAAAATTTTTACACATAACCTTCACAATCAATTGCGAAGTGTTCATTTTTATTTTTTTTAAATTCATCTTTAAAAGATTTTTATTTATTGACAGACAAGTAGGCAGAGAGGCAGGCAGAGAGAGGAGGCGGCAGACTCCCCGCTAAGCAGAGAGCTTGATGTGGGGCTCGATCCCAGGACCCTGGGATCATGACCTGAGCTGAAGGCCTTAACCCACTGAGCCACCCAGGAGCCCCTATTTCTTATTTTTTAAAGATTTTTATTTATTTATTTGAGAGAGAAGAGAGAGAGCATGAGAGGAGAGGTCAGAGGCAGAAGCAGACACCCCGTGGAACTGGGAGCCCAACATGGGACTTGATCCTGAGACTCCGGGATCATGACCTGAGCCAATAGCAGTTGCTCAACCAACTGAGCCACCCAGGCGCCCGCAAAGTGTTCATTTTTAAAAGTGGATTCTGACCCAAGGTGAACCAATGTCTCTTGCAGACTTACAAGACTGAGCAGAAGACATTCTAGTTTACACTTGAGATCTACATTTAAAAAAAAATGAACAAGCAGTGCCTGGGTGGCTCAGTCATTAGGCATCTGCCTTCAGCTCAGGTCATGGACCCAGAGTCCTGTGACTGAGCCTTGCATCAGGCTTCCTGCTCAGCAGGAAACCTGCTTCTTCTCCCTCTCCCTCTCCCCTGGCTTGTGTTCCCTTTCTTGCTGTCAAATAAATAAAATATGTATATATATATTTTTAAGATTTTTATTTGACAGATCACAAGTAGGCAGAGAGGCAGGCAGAGAGAGAGAGGAGGAGGAGGCAGGCTCCCTGCTGAGCAGAGAGCCCGATGTGAGGCTCGATCCCAGGACCCTGGGATCATGACCTGAGCCGAAGGCAGAGGCTTTAAGCACTGAGCCACCCAGGCGCCCCTCAAATAAATAAAATCTTAAAATAAAATAAAATACACACACACACAACCAACAAAAAGGAAGCCGACATCTTCAGATAAGCAACAGGGTAGACTACGAAGATGACAAGAATTCGTAGCTCACAGGAGTGAGTTCTTTGAGCAGTCAGAGTGGGAAAGAGAAAGGCAAAGAACCAAGGCTTGCATTTCCTCTCAGAAATTAAAAAACAAGCAAAAATACCTTAGGAGGGGAGTTCCAACAGTCCAGACTTCATTAGATCAAAGGTGACTCTTCTTTAGGCACTCATTCATTCACAAGGACATGGGTGTGTTCTAGCAGGAGCCATGGCATCCCTTTTGAAACTGACAGTTACAACTGCAAGAAAATATTCCTTCAGAACACACTCCCATGGACAAAGGGAACAATGACACCTCTGTTGGGCACTTCATATACATTTGATTAACCTACAAACCCATCTTGATACAGATGGTGTTAACTTCATATATTGTTAGGGGAAACGAAAGAACTTGTCTGAGGTCAGAAAATCCCACTCAAACCTGGATCTGTCTGCTTCTTCTGCTATACCACACTGTTGCCTCCTTTCACTGGAATACAGTATTTTAACTCCATGGTCTTCTTTGATTCTCTCTTGCTTTTTGGCAATGCAGTACCCTATTCCCACCCCCATGGTCTCCCAAACTTTCCTTCACACATAGGAAAATACCTACCACATCTCTCCTGGACAGAAAGACCCACAACTTGTTTGGAGATTTTTGTTATAAAACATTTAATGTTAACCTACAATACAATGTAAACTTTTATGAAAAAAATTTAAAGTACACTAAATTTCTTCAGTAAATTATCACGTAACTATTCAGGTGCAGTACAAGTTAGGGCACTGCATCCTTTGTGGATGGATTTCCTGTTGCTGCATTCCTCACAAGTCCTAAAAAAACCAGTTGTCAAGTGGAGCTCCTTGTTCAAGCACCAGATAATACTCCCCTGATTTTGCATTCTGGGGGTTATCACTTCTTCCCACAGTCATTTTCTGAAACTCTTTCCTTGGCCTTGGCACCATTAGCGATTTTCATAATGACTGCTCAGTTGAAGATTCTAGGTTCCTTTTTTTTTTTTTAAGAGACAAATATCCTCTGCTCATTTTTTATCCAAACATCATAGTGGAGGAAAGCAAGGACAAAGAAGTATTTGCTGCAGGAAATTCTGGAGAAGTGGAAGAAAAGACCAGAAAGGCCCCACTGAGGCTGCAGAAATTCAACTGACTCCAACAGGTGTCTTGGTCATTTCTCATGGTTTTTCAGCTGAATCTACAACTTCAGTTTTGGGACTGCAGAACACAACTTGAAACAAGTGTTTTTGTTAGGTTGATGACTTGCTGTTTGATAAACAGCTGAAATAACCCAGAGGTGATCTGGAAATGAGCAAATCCTTGCAGAGCAGATATTTCTCAGTTATTTTCTCCCTTACAGGTCCCATTGAGTTCCCAGAGGTCCTTGGGAGTAACATACAGATTGTACTGGCTTTAAGTGACAAAACGTGCATCCTTCACGGAGGAGGGAGATGGCACCTAGGCAGCAGCCCTACGGTCAGCAAGGAGACAGGAATGGGGCCTGAGCAAAGCAGGCCTGTTTCAACATGGACTAGGAAGGAACATGTGCTTCAGATAAAACCTCCTGAAACCTGAAGTAACGGGCAGGCCATTCCAAGAACTGTACCGACATAGACTTTTTTTTTAATATTCTGGCATCTGACCTTCACTGAACAAGTTTTAAAAGGGCAAGAGACATAAAGTGCACATTGTAGAATAAGATGCAGACTGAATTAAGGAAAAAGTGTTACAACTTCCCAAAGAGGTGTGGGCAAGACACTTGGTACCCCACCTAACGAAGGCCCTTAACATCCTCCCCTCCTGTTTGCTGCCAGGGAAACAGCTGCGAGATCGATGGGTAAAGGAGGCTCTGAGTTAAGTGGAAAAATTCCTCTTTGCATGGTTGTTAGCAGGAAGCAGAATTCACGTAAGGTTGGATGGAGAATACGCTTTATCCTGGTACTCACTCCAGATTCCTTTAAGGCCAACACAACAGTCAGTGATTTCCCACTCACCTGGGCTTGAGGAAGCAGGAAACAATGGAATAATAGGCAGTCAGGAGCAGAATTAAATTTTCCTAGAAACAGTGTTCTAGAAACCTGTGCTGAGGCTACTGGGAAATTCCTAGGCTTCCCAGGTGCTTTGTGTGAAGTTCCTTACTCTGTTCCTTATGTTTACCCCAACCTCTGAGGGCTGCAGAGAGTAGAACACACATCACTGCTACCTTAAAGAGTGGCCCTTAGATTTTAGGTAAGCAAGAGAGAAAGCCTTTGGAGGCTGGAAATCTACCATGTTTTATCTTGATGTGAACCCCTGGCCTCATAGCATGCTAAGAACTAGTTACTTCAGTAGGTTGCAGTGTTACGTGCCTGCACCAGTCTAGCTGTAGAACACTTTGGAGGATTTGCCAGCTCATGCTGGCATGTTAATACATGGCCTGACCCATGCACCCATTACCATAAACTCAGAGAACAGATATCCAGAGGTTAAAAAACCCTATTACTTCAACATAGCAATAGAGAGGATTAAAAACTGCATCTAGCAGATGGCTACATCAGAAACTAAATGTGCCTTCCAACAGTTTACACAGGCTGAGAGTTGGCTTGGCTCCCTTCAAGGTCTCTAGTTCTATCCTTAAACCAGCACCACCACCACCACATTCCCACTGAGATAGGCAGGGAACTCTCATGGGGTTCCTTCTGGCTCTGCCATAGGTCCTGCTAGTCCTTTGGGAAAGCACCAAACTTGGCAATTCAGGAAAGCTCAAGGCTGGGCAGGAAGAGCATGCACATGTCAGAAGAGGAGTGAAGAGCCGCTATCCTTTGGTTCAGACCCCATAACCACTTGGTACAGATTCCAAGGGAAAGCTGCAGTCATGTGTATACTAAGTATACATGGAGTTCACGCCATGTATACGGGTCTATCTGTATAGACTTTGTGGGGCAATGAACCCAGATTTCCTCCCAATACTCCCTAGTGGGGCACACAGATGGCAAGAAAGGACAGCAAGAGTTGGACCAAAAAGAACCACCTCTCTGGGAATGTGAGAGGGAAAATGGCAGAAATAAGCATAAACCAGCCCAGGCCACCTTTATTACACTCTTGTGGGCTAAGGAGCCCAGGGCATGAACTCATTGGGCTTAAGAATTGGCTCTCGTCAAATAAAGTCAAGGAAAAAAAACGCCTATGTCAGCCTCATTCCTTTGGTCATTACAAAGCAACAGAAAACATTTAGAAGTTATTCATAAATTGTGGGAAGTTCAAGAACATCTCTGTTCTGTGCCTTCTCTTCCCTCCCTCTCTTCTCTGGTGGTGGGAGAAGCAAGTCCTCAGGAGATGCTGCAGTAGCTGGTTGATGGAGGTCTTTTTCACTTTTATTTTCCATAAAAGCAAGAATGAATGAGAACTAGTGGGAATGTCCACCCTTCCCCAGTAGGGACAATGACTGGGTTGGAGGTGAAGAGTCTCCTTTTGTTGGAAGGTGCGTGGTGCAGAGGCAGTAGGGAAGGGTGGCCTTGCCAGCGGGAACGTTCATTGCTGACCTCGCACGCACACACAGGTGGTGACTCTTTTAGGCAGCATGGTTTCTGATCCTTCCTCAGGATGCAGCAGTCTTTTAAAAAAAATATCGTATTATAATAATAATAATATGAATTTCTCTCTTTTTTTGTTTTTGTTTTTCCATTTCTTTTAGGGATTAGGGCAGGAGGGGGGAGGAAGAAAAAATGTCATTCATCTGTTAGGTCCTGAACAAAGAGAACTTCTGTGTGGCTGAGTCCGGCCTCCTGCAGCGTTGGGGGGTTGGGCCACTCCTCTGAAGGGATGCAGGGTAGCACCCGCCGGGGAAAGTTGGCTTCAATCTGAAACTTTTCCGGGCTTTCTTTCAAGGAAAATAAGAAGTCATGGATTACCTGCAGATCATACAGAAAAAGGACAGTTAGAGAAAGACACAGACAACACAACTATGAAATCAAATATCTCCTTGCCAGCTCTCTCCAGGATGACTCGGAATATGAAGTCATCGCATGACACTGGAATTCTATTATGAGGTCCTTCCTTTTCACAGAACAAATACATAGGGAAGCTCTTAATTTTAAGAGATTACATTGCCCAATGCTAGTCCTACTTCTGAAGTAATTCATCTGCTTTTTTCTTGACAACCTGATATAGAGCTAAAAATTCTTCACTTAGAAATAATCAGAGTTATAGAACAGTGGGAAGTACAGAACATAGAATTTTTTTTCTTTGAACCAGTTGAGAATGAGCTGCCAGCCTGATGGCCCATCACCCCTAAAATACTTGTGTATGTCTTATAAACAGGACAATCTCCTACATAACCATGATACAGCCCTCAAAATACAGGAAATTTAACTGGCACATTAATGCTGTAACAATACATATTAAACTATTATTAAAGTTTTCAGGTTTTGCTAGCTTCCTTTCATAGCAAAAGCATCTAGTTTAGGATTATGTGTTTCATTTCAGTGTCACATCTTCTAAGTCTCCTCCTTTAGTCTGGAACAAACCCTCAGTCTTTCATTGACTTTCATGACCCTGACACTTCTAAAGATTACTGGTCAGTTATTTCGCAGAATGTCTTTCAATTTTTGTCTAATATGTACTCATGATTAGATTCTAGGTATGTTCTTTGGCAGGAGTGTTACAGAAATGATGCTGCATTCTACTAAATCCATCCTATCCAGCTGGAGCACAATTCCCATTTGTTCCACTACCTATAATGTGCACTTATTAAGGTGGTGCCTGCCACGCCTCTCCACTGTCACGGCCATTCGTTTCTTCTCCTTTGTAATTAAAGAGATTTTGTGGGGAGGTACTTTGAAACTACAGAGACAACTATTCCTTAAACTTTTGACTTATTTTTTAAGATTTTATTTATTTGACAGAGAGAGAGATCACAAGTAGGCAGAAAGGCAGGCAGAGAGAGAGGGGAAAGCAGGCTCCTTGTTGAGCAGAGAGCCCAATGTGGGGCTCGATCCCAGGACCCTGAGATCCTGACCTGAGCCAAAGGCAGTGGCTTAACCCACTGACCCACCCAGGCACCCCTTATTTATTTATATTAACATAGAGCCATGATTCCCTATTTTATTCAGTAGGTTATAATGTTATAGTATTTATTTCAATATTCAAATGTTCCAGATGGAGTTAGAAGAGTCCATCCAAGATGGCTTCTGTGTCTTTGTGGCAAGTCTCCATCATTTTTTCAATAATTCCTTGCTATTCTGGGCTGGTCTTGTATTTTCCTGCCCACGCCCTGGAATCAGTCATTTCTCCAAGGAGCCTTGGTTCTTCTTAATGGACAATGGTTATTTAAAAAACACGATCTAGGTGCTAGGTATGTTCATTGCTATTGGGTGTTGCTGCTCCCAAGCACTCTTTATGGAGAAAAACTAGAGAATATGTGTATGTACATACACACATCTATATCTGAACTTCCTTATATATATGTACACAGAAAAACCATGAGTTCATTTCCCCCTCCTTACCCAGTTCTGGCTTTAACACCCCACACCACACCAGAGGCCACTCGGGCTCTGACTCTGTGCACTAGGCAGTCCTCACATCTAGACACTCTCCTTAATTTGGTCAAGCTCTGACATTCTTCATGCAGACCTCTCTTCTATGAGAATGCCCTTCTCACCCTGCTCTGGCTCTGATAGAATAAAGATAAATTCTTAATGAGAAGTAAGGTGACATCAAGAAAACTCCCATTACTAACACTTAAAATGTGAGGTACTATGAATAGGCCACCTTTACTGCTCCCTGTCTCTTGACACCACACTTTAAGTACTGGCATACTGGATCTACTCTATGGCCCTCTTCATCCGGCATGCTACTTCTACCAAAGAGTCTGAAGGATGTGTTGTGAAGGGCAGTGCTCTTCTCTTTCAGGTCAATCCCGAAGATCAGGAACGTAACACTCAAGTTACCCTATTTGGAGGGAATCTATTTTCTTTTTGTTCTACCTCTCGTACGTTTAGTACCCTTTGTGTGAAGCAGTCCTTTTTTCATTTGTCTTAAATTTACCTCTTTAGAGCTTTTAAGAGGCTACATATGACTCCAGAATTTAAGGAGTAAATCCACGCTCCTCTTCCCTAAATCCATTCATGATTTTATAAATTCATATACTTTAATCTATCAACCTCAATCATTTACAGTTCCTGTCTCTCTGTGCAATTTCCATTAATATTATTTTCCTTATGTTGAGATGCATCAATCAGATTTGCAACAAATACTATTGGTATGAACCCAACACAGACCTTAAACAATATTTTGTTTCCTTTTTAATCTTGTTGAAAATATTCAACCCTGGTATAAAACTGGCATCTTCTGTTTACCACTGACAATGCACATCACCTCCAGAGGTCACTTTTGGTTCCTAACAGATAGAAAAATGATTTGGAGTCTCTCTAACATGCATTCATTTAACAGAAAGTCAGCTGCCACTTTTCTGCCCACTCATGAGACCTGGAGATTTTTTTCTACAGTTTATTCCTTTTTATCTTAGCATTTTACTACTATCAAGAGCTGAGCTTTGTGCAAATTGAGTTATTCCACTGCACATTCACTTTTTGGGATTATTTACAAAGAGGATCTCACAGGAAAGTCTGCAAGACTATGAAAAACTGAATTTTTACTCAGTTATATGTATAAACTCCATGGATGTTAAAGGCCCACAGCATCACTACACTTTACATTTCTTTCCCCTCTCTGAGCTTTGTCCCCACTTATGATCAAGTATTTCAGTCAGAGGATTTGTTTTTTTAAAAACTGAGAACCTATTTAAGAGTCTTAAAGAACTGGGGAGGTCTGGGTGGCTCAGTTAATTAA